AAAAATCAAGAAAGAAAAAAATCTTATTTTATATTAGCATTTAAGATCCATGGGCTCTACCTTTATGATAAAAATAACTTATAAAACAAAACTTAAAATATTATTTCATAATAGAAGCATAATACAACTGGAAAATACCAAGGATTCCAACCCTCAGATTATCGCTCTAACTTCCTCTCCATACAGTCGAGTTGAGTTGCTAGAGACGTGTACGCTCTCGCCCTTTGTCACTCAGAAGGCGTCTTCTTGATTCAAAAAATCAAGAGGATTCTAATGCTTTGATTACTCTAATCACCCGAACGTACAGCATTCGCACAGAAAAGGGAATCTTCATCACCTCTCTCACTTATCCCCTCCTTTCATTAGCCAGCCCTCGTTTGAGCAAGCCACTATATAGGAGTACAACCAAGTCCATATTGTAGTTTCCATCGAGAGAGAACAAAGCAGCGAGTTGAAAGAGCTCGAGGAGAGTCCATGTCCATACTGCACTGGCAGACTGCCGGAGGGCTTTGTCCCGAACCCCAAAACAATGAGGTAAGCACTGAAATGTCCCTTGTCATAAAATATCTCTCTTTAGTGGTTACTATCTGCACATAGGAGAGCACGCATGCAACCCGCGTGAACCCTCAACGGTTGTTTAAGAGAGGATTTTTCCCGTCGTCCACGCGTAGAAAAATTAGGTTCAACCAATCCCTTCAATTATTTACCCTCTCTCCATTTTGTACCTTCTCTTTGCTTCTCTCCCTCTCTCGTAAAAAATAACATTTATTTCCATCAAATGTTAAGTCTTATTACACTTGTCTTTATACTTCCTTCTCTTTGTACTTTTATCTTTCTTGCTCATTAAAGCTTGTGGTCCCCTTTTCACTTTTTTAAAAGCTCACATTTCTCTTTTTCCTTCTCGTATTCACAAATTCAAGGGCATATTTGTCTTTGTAGTTCCCTTTAGAACCCTCTTTATACCCTCTCTGTTTCACTAAGAGTTCACTCATTAAGACTTCTCTGTCTCTAAGCTAAGCTCACTCTCTGAGCCTCTCACAAAATAGCACAAAATTTCCTCTCTCTACTCTCTTCCCCTCTTCCCCTGCACTGATACCAAAAAAGTAGAGAGAGATGAAGAGAGTAGAGAGGGAATTTTGTGAGAGACTCAAAGAGTGGGCTTAGCCTAGAGAGAGAGAGAGAGAGAAGCATTAGTGAGTGAAGTTTTAGTGAAAGAGAGAGGGTATAAAGAGGGTTTTAAAGAAAACTATAAAGAAAAATATATCTTTGAATTTGTGAATATGAGAAGGAGAAAGAGAAATGTGAGATTTTAAAGAAGTGAAAACGGGGCCACAAGCTTTAATGGAGAAAGGGTAAATAATTGAAGGGATAAGAGTACACAATAATATAAGTAAATTAGAGGAGGAGAAACGGAGTGAACACAATAATTGATGAAAAACATATAAGTATTTATAGAGTCTAGAAACACAAAACTTCCTCTATTTTTTGGAATTTTTTATATTCAAGAAAATAAGAACTCAAAGAGACACTGAGAGAGAAACAAACTATTTTTTTTTTTTATAAATAGTAATTACCTGAAAAACAGACAACAAGGAGGTAAAAAGCAAATGGGTGCTTTGTTTGACGAAAGGGTATGAGTATTGTGCTCAATCGCTAACAGTATGTCAAGATATCATTTTAAGGGCTGCGACTTGCTGGCCCTCTTGATCAAATCAGCTACCGGAATAATTAACAACACTTTACGATGTCACTAATCAATATTACGCTCACAGTAACAGAGAGCTTCGATATCCCGAGTTTCATCCAGGAATGGGGTTAGAGTCCACTAAATGACTATTAGAGCGTAATAACTCTACCAGGCTTAGTTACCCAATTAATTTACAAAATACAAACTCAACTTCACTTTTGATTTATTTCATACAAAGGTGTTACATATTTATAGTGAAGCATAACCGGACTTACCACATAGTGGTTTACAAAACTATGGGCTAAAAGTATAGACGAAAAACAAACCCATACAATACCTTGGTATATTAAATACATCCACATGTCACTTATATAGTACCTTGGTACATGAGGTATATTCACATGTCACTCTTACTTAAAAGTAAAAATAAAAGCAACACATACAAAGCCATAATTACATACACTTACCACTCACTCTTCCACACATTAAAAAAGGTCAATAGTAAAACCACTAATAAAAAGTAAACCCACTTTTAAAAAGTAAATCAGCTTTCAAAAACCATGGGCTCAACCTACAGCTGGACAATTTCTTCTATTATGAAGACGGTTTTTTCATTAAATACTTCTTCCAGTTGTTCAATTATATCTATCAAGAACCAGTTTTCTTGGATCTCAGATTTTGTGATTATTGCTTTGGTTTTCCTTTGAGCCTTTTGTGGACATTGTGCAACCAAATGTCTTTCTTACTGGCAGGTGCGGCATGGTCCTTTAAATCTCAGTTTTATTCCCTTGTTTCTTTTGTATAACTTGTAGGGTTTAAAGTTTCTTCCTTTATGAATTTTTCTAAATTTGGGGATATTGTATTCTTCTAGTCCTTCAATTGTGTTGCATATTTTAGATCCTGCTATTAAGTATGTCCTTGTATCATCTTTATAACACAATTATTTAATTTTTCCGCTGGAAAATCCCACTACATCAGGCATTATCAGATTTTGCTCAGATATGTTTTTCATTGAAATTGTTTCAAGCACAAGTTCAGGGATATTACTTGGCAACGATGCAAGATAATGAGCTTTACAAGTTGCATTATTGTGTAATCCTAACTTGTAGCACTCATTGTTGTAGCGTTTTAGGTATTCTTCAAAATCATTAATGCTTTGGAGCTTTCTCTTTCCTAATAAAACAATATATGTAGCATATTTCATTGTAGATTCATAAACAAATTCTGAAATTAATTTGGACCCTAATCCAAAGAATCCTACCATATAAATGACATTGCCCTTGTAATCAACTCTTCTCAGTAGGAATCTTGTAGCATATATGCTGGAATATATGTTTAACCATCTTCTTATGTTGCTGACATACACATTCTTCTGTATACCCAAGTAATGATCTCTTATTTTGGTTTAGAATGTGAATGAGTTAATTCATCAATATTTAAAATTGGAATATCTTCTCCTATATTTCTGAAATCATCTTGCTCAACAATAGTAATTCTCATCATTTTCACTTAGAACACTAAAAATGATTCTTCCATATATTCAGAATTTTGAAGAAGAAAAGAAGGAAAGCTAGTAAAACTCAGAGGCTTGAATTTAAAAACTTTTGCAGCTCCATCTTCCTTTTTCTTTTTCTAGCTTTTTCTGTTTTCAAATATTTATAGGTGATTCTAATGTTAAGAACCAAAAGATAGGTCGCATCTACCTTGATTTAAGACCTTCAGGATTTTCTAGTTGCTCTACAGTAGCAGTAGGATAAGGCATTTTGGGAGGCCAATCTCCTCCAATGACTAATGACTGGCTAGTGTCTTTTTTCCTATGGTTATTATGCGACTCTGAACAAATTGGAGAGCTTCTCTGTTTGGTGAATCTGTAATTTCTCTCACATGGGGATCGATATTGATAATTGGCAGAATGGGGGGTAAAGTATTTCTTTGATTGGTCTAAAGGGCTTTGTTTATAGGTTTCAGGGTGATGGTGAAGTAATTTACTAGTGTTCTGTAAGGGGTTTTGCATTTTGAAGTTTGGTTTTTTCTTTTAAAATTGATGAGACTCCGATATAGACATATTGATATTTCTTATTTTTCCATCTTTCAATATCTAATTTTTCAAAGAAAGGTAAAAATATATGACAAATTCATTTACATTTGACATGGAAATTGACTTCAGACTAATGAATCGACCTGGAAAATCTAGACTCAAACAGAGAAAGATTATACAAATCTTATTTATTTACTTCAGGGAAACTGACATTCCCTGGACTATCTAAGTCACTTTCCTATTCTATCACAAAAGAATGCAATGGAACATATGAGATTGGACTAATTAAGGATCTTGGATTTTTGGGAGTCATTTTTTGGGTTTTTGATGAAGAGGTTGAGGAAGACCCGGACCATAGCATTTTTATCTAGGAAACTGGATGGTCCGAGTATTTAGAAAACTCATTTTGCTCAATCTATAATACGTCTATGATTTACAAATTTTTAGGTTGAGGAAAACAATATTTTTTCATCTAATGATTTGTGCTTTTAGACACGTTCAAAGGGCGTGCATCATGCTAGTTTGGCTAGAGTGATAAAAAGGGATCACAGAGTGCTACATATAATGCTTGTCACCATCCAATCTATCGATTGGAAGGCTGTGGATGTCGTCAGAATTAGGCTCGAGTGGTTAACAATTGACTATAGCAATAGTGCCTCTTAAGTTTGATTTCTTGTACTGAACTACCCAAAGAAAAATGATGCAGATGTCATCATTGGTTAGGTGTCTCGATCTCGTCTCCCTGGATTTAGGTGATCGTGTAACACGTGTCTCGGGTTCGGAAGACTCGGGACCTGAGGTTGCTCTTTCGGGAACTTTATTCAAGAATAAGGGCAGGTATCCAACTAGTGAGAGAGGAATTTGGGTCGTGAAGCGGGATTTACCTCACATGGGTCCGTAACACACTCGAGCTGGCTCGCGTGGGCGCTCTCTTAGATCACGTTGGAAAGCTCCATGGCCTACGGCCTGTTTGGAATTGTTTCTCTTGACCTGTTTCTCTTTTCCTATAAACACACACATGTAAGACGTCCCAACAAATGGGTTCGGGGACCTGACTTATCGAAGATAAAATAAAATAAAATGGAGTGAAATGGAAAGTAAAACGAAATAAGATGAATTGAAATAAAATAAGATTAGAAGATGGGGTTAAGGTGAAAATGGAATGAAGTGAAGTGAAATAAATAAAATAAAATGGGGTAAAATAAAAGAAAGAAAATAAAAACAAATAAAAATAAGACGAGGGAACATAAAATAAAATAAATAAAATAAAGGAAAATATATTAAACTAAACTAAGGTGAGGTAAATAGGATGGGTGAGGTTAAATGGAATAAAATAAAGAAAACTGGGTTGGTTAAGAGAATGAGAGAGAATGTCTTAAAAGCTAAACCAAGGGGTTAGCTAAGAGAGTGAGGGAGAGAATTTTTTAATCAAATAAAACTAGTAAATGTGTTAGTTAAAAGAGAGAGAAAGAATATTTTAATAAAATAACAAATGGGCTAGTTAAAATCGGGAGAGACAAGAGCATTGGGTTTGAGAAGGCGTGAGGTGTTAAAAAGGACGCTGTGTTGGTTAAGAGAGAGGGTTAGGGTTTGACGAAATAGCGCGAAAGGGGGGGGAACGAAACTTTGACGAAAAACAAACGGAACGAAATTGGAAAGAAAGGAGGTAGGTGCCTTGTTTTGTGACGTTCTAGAGAGAGAGAAGAGGCGGAAGGTTGCTCGAATTTGCGAAGAGCTCGGAGGAGATGATCGTGAGGGGTGGCGAAGGTGCCTGGTTGCAAGAGGCGGAGGTGGTTGAGGACAGAGGTGGAGACAGCAGGGAGCAAAGAGGGGGTGAGGTGAGAACTGCTGCTGGTTGCAGCCGGTTGGACGTCAGTTGCAGCAGAGCGGAGATGAAGGTGGACGCAACAGAGTGGAGGAGGTGACGGGGGCAGAGAAGAGAGAGGGGCGGAAATAGTGGCGGAGATGGCGGAGGTCACTTTGAGGTGGCGGAAATGGCTGCCGTGCAGGTGACGAGAGAAGAGAGTGGTGTAGATGGGACTGAGAAAGATGGCGCACAGGGGCTGAGAAAGGTAGGACACAGGGGCTGAAAGGGAGGTCGTTTGTAGCCTGATTGCAGGCGGGTGAAGTGGAGGGAACAGCTGGTTTTAGAGCAGCAACAAGGTAGCGGAATTCGGGAGAGATTAGGTGGCTGAATGGGGCTACAAAGAAGAAGAAGGAGAGGGCAGCAAAGGTGGGAGAGGAGGCGAAGATGGGCTGGCTGGCTGCTGCAACAAGGTGGCTGAGGTTGATTGCAGGTGAGCGGAGATGGAAGCCGAGAAAGAGAGAGGCGATCAACTGCTGGTCAGGGTGGTGAGATGTGGCGAAGAAGATGGGTTATTAGCAGGGCTGCAGAGAGATGGAGATGGGTGAAGAACAGGGAGAGGAGTCGTTAAGTATCTGGTTGCTGCTGCCTGATTTTTGGTGGAGAGGGGGATAATTGAGGAGAGAGCCGTGGCAGCAGTGTGGTGTCGTGGTTGAGGAAGGTCACGGCTGTAGTTTGTTGTGTAGCTGCAGAAAGAGGTGAAGGAAAAAGAATGGGGGTGCTGCGTGAGGTCAAGAGAGAAACACGGCGATGGGTTTAGGAAAGGGGCGCATCGCAATAGGGTTAGGAAAGGCGTGCACCGCGATAAGGTGGAGGGCACCGCAATAGGGTTAGGAAAGGAAAGGGGCGCATCGCAATAGGGTTAGGAAAGGCGTGCACCGCGATAAGGTGGAGGGCACCGCAATAGGGTTAGGAAAGGGGGGACGGCGATAACGTGGAGGGAAAGGGGTGCACGGCGATAGAGTGGAGAGAAAGGGGCGCACGGCGATAGGTTCGAGGTCGCACGAGACGCCATAAGAAGAGAGATTAGGGAGACGGTGGTTGCCCGGGACCATAGATTGTGAGAGGAACAAGGAAATATGAGGGTATACCAAAAAGAGGTGAGGTGAGGTTGCGGAGGAAAAAAAAAAAAAAACTTGCATGATAACAAAAAAACTTGCATGAAAACTTAAAAAATAAAATAAATAAATAAAACGACGTCCAAAAAAAGAAAAGCGCGTGAACCGATGGTGCATAGGGAGAAGGTGTTCAAGAAAAGCGCGTGAACCGATGGTGCATGGGGAGAACGTTTTCATACACGTAGCACAACCAAAAGAATAAAAAGATGGGTGAACGTGAGAGACCACCGGGAGATAGAAGGAAAAAGTGATCATGAGGGCCACAAAGAGGGAAGAAGTGAATAAGAAAAAAAAGATAGGTGAACTTGAGAGACCACCAAGAAATTGAAGAAAAAAGTGATCATGAGGGACCACAAAGAGGGAAGAAGAGAATAAGAAAGGGAAGGAGAGAATAAGAAAGGAAGAAAGAGTAACACTGGAGCCCATCGCCGCTGTGGAAGAGGAGAGAGAAAGAGGATAGAAAAAGAGAAAGAAAGAGAAGAGAGAGAAAGAGAAACAAAGAGGAGATAAACCTGCGGGTACCAACTCCAAAAGTTCCTCTTTCATTTCTCTCTTAAGAGAGACCCAACAATAGGTAAGATAAAAAAATTTATTAAGTAAAAGATCATTGTACAATGAGAGTACGTGATATATATAATGTTTTGTCTAAACATGAGTGGATGATCAAAATTAAACTTAATTGCTATAAATTAAGATTTAATCGAATTAAAAGAAATTTAAAAATATGATGTAAAATGATAGATTTGTCCCTTCCTAATAATTGTTGAATTCCAAAACAGTCTCTGTATTGCCCTCGAACTTGTATGAACTTTCATAAATGATCCGGGGTTGTTCTGATGTCTGATTGATCGAAAGATATTGTTTTTTTGTAGGGCTCGGTATGGCGATCGATTTAATACCAACTTCGAGTTATAGATCGTGTTTTTAGGGCACGATCATGTAACTTAAAATTTGAATGAATCTTGAAACTTTAGATCGATTGTGTGCTCGTTCCTTGATGTTTTTTTGTGATTTCCTTGATGTTTTTTTGTGATTTCTTCGCTGAATCACACTGAGTATGCCGTCACGATTGCATGGCAACAAATGCAGCTTGATTCCGTGCCCGAACGAAGGTTTTGAAACTTTGGGATTTTGGTCGGAATCTGAAATTCCAGTGACGAAATTTGCAGCCACTTCTTTAGTTTTCGTGTGCGGGATATGGCCGTTCATCATGCACAAGGTACAGACCAGTGATGACCATGGACCTTACGCATGCGATGGAACTGGTATTGCATCGATCGGGTTGGTGAGGCCTGTGATTCGGCCACTCGAGTGAGGCACGATGCTGCTTATTTTCCTGCACTTTCTTTACGGATCAACAACTTCTCTCTAGCTTTTCTTCGCGCTCGAACGTAGTCACGGGGCGTGCCATATCAAAACGCTCGCCTCGACGAAACAAACACTCCAACAAGTTTAACCGCGATACAATCTCGGACGAGGGAGATACAAGCATCGTAAGTCATTGGTCGTGACTGTCCCTTTAATGGAGTTGAGTTGCAAGGTGGCCGCTTGAGAATAGTATGCGGCTCCTCCTGTTTTGCTCTTTAACCTATAACGTTTTCCCAAAGTGTCCGTTTAAGCTGAAATTTGACCCCTGGGCTTTTCAATTGTTTCGGATCGAATAGCAGTGGTCCCACAGTAAATTGAAACACTGAAAATGTAGTTGTAGTTATAGAGGTCCGTTTTACTAAAGGGTGATTCTGCCGGAACTATTTTTTAACCTGCACTGCCTTAAACATGTCGGATTGCGACAAAACTTGACAGGAGACTTTTGAAAGTCCTCATGAAGTTCATAGCCAATTCTAGAGAATTCTAAAAATATCGAAATTTCCACTGTATGTTAGGCTTTATTGACCGGGAACCCATGATGATGAAAAATGTCTTCCAATAATCATGCCACAATCCAATCCATTGATGGGATAGTGAAGACCAAATTAACACTCGGCCAACTTTGGGAGCATTACCGTGGTTTTCCAAATAAACTGGGGAGAGCCACGGGCAACACTAACAATTAGGCAGTGTGTGGACCAAATACTTCCTAAACTATGAAAAAATGGACAGACAAGAAAATTACTGTCTCATGATTTCATGGCCCCTCCTACTAAGGAATGTTTGTTGGATAACCAAACTTTCAAATCATGTTTATCACAATGTAGCATCAATTCCATAAATAAATGTCGTGGAAATGAGAAAGGGCTCAAAATCAGATCCCCTGCAAGTTTGAATACAGATATCAGCCATTAGGCATTTGAAATCCAAAGTTTTTTTTTTTTTCTCAATGAAATTAATTTTAGAGTGGATAAAAAACCGTTTCAAAATGATTTTGGTTCCTCCAAATATCCCTAATTATGAGTCGTAGCTGCAAGTTCCAACTGAACAATCCGAACCAGATATGCGCCCATTGTCAAAATTTTGCACATATGAATGCTACCGACATTCAGGGTGTGGCCTACAGCTCTTTCACTATTCTGTTTCATTTATTCCCAAGCAAACAGAGAGAAAGAGGAGTTTATTCAAACCGATTACGCCACGAGGGCTTACCCTCTTCATATATTAGCAATTATATGATGGAAAAATATAATATGATCCTTCTGATCATTGTGACTATGATGACCTTGAGGTACCGTCCATTCAATGGATCCAATGGTGATAGTGATAGAGAAGGATAAACTCAATTCTATGGTGGGACGCTCACGCACTCAACTCATCACTGCCAAGCCCAATTGATGTGACAGTGAAAGCCTCACAGTCATAGCGCATTTTGATGACTACTTGGACCAATTCTATATTGCCATTATATATTAAGACTTTTCAAGTAAATAAAGCAAACCTCAAAGCCCCCCATCAAGCTTGCAAAATTGATGAATGTAACAAAAAGTATTGCTATCAAATGATGCCAGATAAATTGACAGGGACTACCAGAAAAACAAAAGATGGAGCAAAGATCAAGCATACATCAAAAAGTTTCTATGACAACTGATCGTTGTCATGAACAGTGTCATAACTACTAAAATAGCTGGGTTTCAATTCAAAAACAAGGGGTTTCACACATGTCTAAGACTGCAAATTGAAATGTACTAGGAGAGGTGGACCTCAAAAGGTTCTTACCTCTACCTTGACATCAGCCACTCCAAAGTATTTCTAAGCCGGTAGCAATTCACTTATTTTCCACCAATCGCCATTGCGAAGCTTCTTATCACAGAGCAAGTATCTTCACGCATTTAAGGTCACAGTTGAATGTGTACATGTAGCCTGAGTCCAAGCTCATGGGAACAATTCTTCCGTTGTAATGCAATCTTGTAAGAGCATTTTGTTTACAATCAGATGCCCAAATCCCGGCTTCATGAAGCTCCCCCTCTCTCCAACAGATTCCAACAGTGACACCACCTCGAGCCTTGAGCCCACTAAAGCAACCATGAGGCCATTTGTCTCGAGGAAGAGCGGGCAACAGAATTAGGTCTCCTTTTTCTGTGCTTTGGACTAACATTTCTGCAATTGCAGCACTAAATCTGCCATTTTATAGTTTCATAGAGAAAGTCAGTGACCTGGACTTAGGAATTCACTCATCTAGATTTATTCGATGTACGATCAGTTTGCATATTTCAAACTGATACTTTCGATTCAAAACTAGCATTGCATGAGCTCATTATGTGGAAAGAACAATAGAATTCGGTTTACCCAAAATTAGCATCAATCTGGAAGGGAGGGTGTGCAGTAAACAAGTTACTATAAAGGCCGCCTTCAAAGTCCCCTTCATGGTCAGGGTCAACCAAGTTTATCAAGACCTTTACCAGTCGATATGCATGTTCACTGTCGTGAAGACGTGCTCGCAGAGCCATCTTCCATGTAGTCGACCACCCTGGTCCTTCTTCCCCTGCCAAACAAAGTAGCCCACTAACTCTGCTATTAATTCCTGGCTAATGAAGGTAGAAGAGTGAACAGGAAATCTGAACTAAGAGGTTGTGAAAAAAACATTACATGGAGTTAATCAGTAATCATCCAAGATTAGGAAAGCAAAGTCTACTTAATAGAAAGAAAATGCTAGATTTGGCTTTTTGGGAACTAAGACTGATAAAATAATGTAAAATTATTGATAATACATTAGGAAGCATACATTTGAAATGTTGGGTCATTATCTGTTTCACAAACATATCATTGCATCACGAAAATATGGAAAATGCAATCCACTTATCATATGTAATTCTCTATTTGAATTGCAGCCCTGTTAAGTTAAATGAATTGGATGACCTATCGGCAAATCTTCCCTCAGTGGCTTTGTAGAGAAAAAAGTGACAGAACATCTCGAGATTGTTGATTATTTCTCTCTCAGTTGCACCAAAGATGATATAGCTGCTGTCTTACAAAATGACTGTGTTCTCCAAATACTTCAATCATAGCATTTTTTGGATAAAACACATCCTTGACTAGTATGATTGTTTTCTTTCTAAGAGATTCTTTTTCCCTAAATAAGCATGAATTGCATTTGTTTCAGGGCATTATGCAAGATAAAGAATTTCACATTATCTTTCCACTAATCGATTATGTTTCCCTGATTAAGCATCAGTTTTAGGATTCATGATAAGTTTTGGTAAAATTTTACATTGGCTGCCTACCTAACACAACCCAGCTCTTTTACCCCGGCATGGGATGGGTTAAGGGAAAGTTTAAGTTCATCACCCTTCTTAAACCTAATGAATCCATTTGAAAAAGTTTAGGTGTGTCACCAATAGGCGATAAGATGAGAAAGAGTAGACTTAGGTGGGCTGGCCATGTAAGGCATCGACCCAATACAACACCTGTTAAGACGTGCAAGCTAGTTCAAGTAGATGGATTCAAAAAGGCAAGAGGTAGGTCCAAAAGAATATGGTTGGAAGTAGTCCGAAAAGATACAGGGACTTATGGCCTCACTGAGGATATGGCCTTAAATACAACAAAATGGCGGATTAGGATTAGTGTAGCTGACCCCAATTAATTGAGAAAGGGCTATGATGATGATGATGATTAAGCATCAATTTGAACACGTGAAAGTCTTTTACTTGACAGAATTCTGTTACACTTTTAAACATAACGTAAGCAAAACCTACTGCGTATGGTGATGAATGGAATGTAAAAATAATAACATTGTGAATGTTTTCTACACAGACCTCTTTTATAGAGGCTGTAAGCAGCAGCTTTACACACATCTGGATTTCTCTCCAGGGATATTGTATGGCCTGGAAAAAGACCAAATAAGTGCGACAAGTGCCGATGGTGCACATCTGGATCCTCGAAGTCTTGTGCCTACATATGAAACTAACAAGCACTTGTCAGATAAGTAAAACAGTATCTTCTCAACCTTCTGTAAAGTATCAAGAAAACTTTGTAAGTAATACTAAGTCCTGAACAAAAAGATAAATCCACAGTATACTAACCCATTCCATTACAGAACCATCTCTGGCTATTTTATATGGGGGAAGCTTTGATTCTGTTACCCTAACTTTTTCAATGAGATCATCCTCACCTTTTCCCAAAACCTACAAACATGATTGTCAAAGTCCATTACACCCAAATAACTATGCAAAGTATATGGGTCAAACTCAAATTGATATACATACTCTCCATATTTGAAACAAGGCGAAATACAAAATAAACGGAAGAAGTACCTTAGCTGCAGATATTATTGACTTGAAAACTTCTCTTATAATGGCCATATCCATTGTTGTTGAATAGCTCACACTTGCTGTCCTACCATCAGGAGCAATAAAAGCATGCTCAGGAGATGTTGATGGGTTCGTTTCTAAATATCCGCTAGGAGTATCTAGTAACCAGTCCAACAGAAAAGATGCACATCCCTTCAAAAGTGGATATGCTTTATTCTCTAGAAACTCCTGCCAACAAGAAACATGACACGAGAAGTTTTCACCACCTAGAATAACTTGCCCTTATACCAAGACATAAAAATATACGTTCTTCATCTAAAATTGCAGATATTAAATCACTTGCAAGTCTTGAATAAACTTAATAGCAAGTCTGTCTGAAGATTTTTTATAAAGATATCTGCTAAAAAACTTAATCTACATTTGTCCATTCATTACTTGCCACTCTGACAGACTAACCCTGGATACCTTTGTGCAATAAGAAAATCAAAGATGTTGGTAAATATAGCATTTGACATGCTGCTTCAGAACATGAATATTTCCAGCATTATGTCAGTAGCTGCTTATAGGCAATCGCCGCATTTTTTTGTTGCCTGGGTATAGATACAGGCATCATGCACGAGTACAGCAATTTGGCGACAAATGTATCTATTCATGAGTGCACAAAAAACACCAAGAATGCTCATAAATATTTGCACTTCAAACACCCTAACCTTCAAGTGCATATCACAGTTTAGCCTGAATAACTTTGCGTATGTTCCGAAGGTTAAAACTGCGATTAGAAGGATGAACATGTTTTTGATGGGCTTATCCATATTTATTTCGCCACTAATGAAGTTTTTAAATGTGTGCCACTGTACATTACAAGGACACATGAGAGTGTGTCGTATCAAACATGGAACACCTTGTTAGAGATACCTAAGAACGGACAAGTTAGACATGGATATCTGAATTTATACAAATGTGTCTCTTAATTTTGCAAGGCAGCATGCACATTTACAATGGAAGCAAGTGTTGGTCATTTAGATGTTTGTCATACGTCTTGAATTTACCTAGATGTTAGTCATCTAACATTCATCATTCATGCGTGTGTCATACATCTTGAAAATCATCCCACAAGGCTCTTTTTCATAATGAGTCATTTTACAAATTAATAAAGCATATAAATAAAAAAAATAACCCAACCATTTACTCTTTCAAAGTTTTTATTAACAATGTGAAAAACTAAAATATAATCACATAAAAACTTATTTAATTGGCATAAAATTAATATAAATTGAGATAAAATTTCAACATTACATTAAAAAATACATACAGTAATTATACAATATCTGTTTACAAAATCTAAACAGCTACATCCAACTACATCATTTTAAACCCAACAATATCATCACAGTATATAATACAATGGAAAAACATACAGATATACATATTTTTTGTATGTTTCTATTGATTAAAAATAAAGCCTAAAATGGTAAAAAAAAAGAAGAAACTATGTTAATAATGCATAGAAAAATTGATAAAGAAAGCTTGCTATTTACATTGGAAGGAAGGTAACATGCAGTACCTGTTCACATAATCTGTCTATACATTGAATATTTACAGAACGTACCAAAACTTTATGTAAGAAAAAGCCAATATCACATAAAAATTAAAATAGATATAAACACTCTAAAGGAGGGAGAAAAAATAATTATAAAAAATAAAACAAAAGGTGAGAGATTATACCCTCTCCCAGGGTCTGCAAGGGAGTCCACCCCAAAAACGATCATTTCACAAGATCAGCTATACTCAATTTATATCTTTTCACAAGATCAACTTTTCTCAATTCAGAATTTTTCACAAGATCAACTTTTCTCAATTCAGATCTGTTCACAAGATCAACTTTTCTCACTTCTCATTCTTTGATCATTCTCTGATCCTTTATAATGAAGGGACATCTCTTTTTAAATAGACTTTGAAGAAAATAAATAATTAAATAAATAAAAGAACAACAAAAATTCGCTCTCTCTTCCATGTTTTTCCTCTACCTCCCTATTTTCTCTCTCTTCCTCACGTGTCTCCCTACTCATCACGTAGAGTTCCTTGAATCAAGGAAACTCCCCCATCTACACGTACTTCCCATATCCTTCCCATATCTAAATCACATATCTTCCTCATATTTATATCCCCCTTAAATCTCTCGCTAAATCTAAGATAAGTTTAAAAAAACTAACTCACACCAAGATATACCTTTCCTAAAAACTCACGCTACCCATTCCTAAAATGATAAATTCAAAAAATAATAAAATTACAATTCTGAATTTTTTCTAAGTTTTATCTGCATCACACTCCATGAATTATAAGCCATGAGTAACAAGTGCATGCCAACATACCAGCAGGAAAGTGGCCAGTAAAATCCGGTCCTAAGTTGCAAACAGTTACCTACTTGGACACAAGCTAGATATACAACAGTGATCCATCCTTGGATGCTTCAAACCCAACTGCACAGGTGATGATGAATTCAGTGGCACAACCATTATCAGATCACCCATTGTATCCATGAGTATCTCATAATATAGCCTCAACTTCGAATAAAATCTCTTTCAAACTAAAGTATGCAAGAGTGATGTCCTTTCAGGAAGGCCAAAGATCAAAGGAAGTAGTTTTAGAAACACAAGGAACCATTTTCCTTACAAAAATGACACTTGAAACTTCTTCATATCAACATGTGCTGGATTTGGGTTTATCAAAACAAGTCAAATTTAAAGTATGCATACTTCAAAGGTAGAGTGCCTCTACTAGGAACAACCTCCAACCCAAATGTTGCCTCCAGCTTTAGAATATTAAGAGACATTCACAGTCAAAAATACTGTAGAATTCACACACAAGTATCATGGATTTACATTAATAACAATAAATTTCAAGCATTACTATTAAGCATCTCTAGCATTATATCATTGCCACTTTTAAAATGAACAGCTTTCGAACCAATTCTTTTCTCCATTGAAATGTCCGAGAAAGTCTAGATAATGTGATCCTTTTATCAACATAGATTGACTCTGGAGATTGAAAATATAGAAAAATTGTAGTTACTCTCAATGTATGACATTCATTGAGACCTAGACAAACTTCCTAATTTTTATTAAATAACTTTGTCATGTATATAGTTCGCAAGACTTGAATCTTTGGTCGATCAAGAATTTCACTTTTCACTTGTATTTTAGACCCTGCTCATATATTTATAGACAAGGAAGGATAGAATTCAAAACGAATACATCCGAGGGAACTTAGGTGTAGCTCCAATAGGCGATAAATGAGGGAAAGTACACTTAGGTAGTCAGATCATGTACAGCATTGACGTAGACCAACACCAGTTAGGAAGGGTGACTTAGTTAAAGAGGAAGGTTCTAAAAGAGCAAGGGGAAGGCCCCAAAGGACATAGATAGAAACAGTGAGAAAATATATGGTGACTCATGGTCTGACTGAGGGTATAGCTTTTGATGGAGCAAAATGGCAAAAAACGATTCGTATAATTGTTCCCAAATAATAGTTGGGATAAGGATCAGATGATGATTGAAGACTCCTGAGCATGAAGTCACAATTCAATATATTATAATATCAAGGAAACCCATAAGGACATCCTTTTTTTATTCTATAGCAATACTTTATGCCCTTCTAGATTAATGTAAACCCTAATTTTCCAAATGCCTGATGATATAGAATAGGGACCTTCCTTAGTTGACCAGAGAATTATTACCCTTGGTCTGAAAATTATGCATTCTTAAAAGTTAAAACCATAGAGCATTCCATAGTTGTTGGAGGTGGGAGATGGCTCTGGAGCGAGACCGGTTCGGGGAAAGCAAAACCGCCATATGGTGGAAGCTACCTAGGGTTAGGATCGACATTTGTACATACAACAAATTAATGAGCTATATCTGAGGATACCTTGAAGCAAGATCCCAAGTCTCTAGGATCGAGGTCTTGACTTGGAAGGATCTACGCTTCACTATACATAAAATGAGATCAATTAATCGTACATGATAAAATTAAGATCAAGCCAATGCCCCCTCGATCCATTGTCCTACACCTTAGCTTATTATCTAGTGTGAGGTCGCTCAGGCAAGGTCAAGTACGGCCGATTTACTTGGCCTTGCCCTATGGGCGAGGCGAGTTTTTCCTGAATCTGTTGTACATCATGTATGTATCGGTACTATATACAATTTGTGAATTTTGATGTTGAATACGTTCAAATCGCTTGTTGGGTAGAATGTGTGGCTCCTGCTTGCCATGTTGTGGGCTCCAATCTCCTTATGAACACTATCATTTTTTTTTGTACTTAGCCCTTTTGTTTTTTACAAGCTAAAAAAACAGTTCAAAAAACTCAAGTGTGGGGATCGAGCTCAGAACCTCTCGAACTAAGAGGCATGCAAGGGCGGTAAAGATAACAAGTACACCATTTTGGGTTTTATGTAAATATGTTGGTAATCATAGATATATATTGGATTGTTTGCCTTTATTTTTATTTTTTTTTACTTGGTTTGGACTAGCCCGAGTAACTCGCCTTGGCCTAAGGCCGAGTACCTTGGCCGATCCAAGTCCCAGAACACTGTTATTACCAACGTCATAGTTATAATACTCCAATTTACTACAATAATACAATCTACAATATGGTAAATTGGCCTACTATTTTTATTTTTTGAATATCATAATTCTAGCATACCATGATGTGATATGCATAACAGTTTAACATACTCCAAAGAAATAAATTTATAAATCCGAGGAGCAATAGTTCAGTTAATAGTATAGCTCCTCTCCTTGGAGAGCTACAAGCATGTAGACCGAAATCCCATTTTATAGGGAGCGAGACCACTACTTCTCTAAACCTAATTTTATGTGTATGATGATATGAGCTCAATGATTAGCCCTGTGTGGGAAGGTTAGCGCCAACAAAGGGTATTGGCCTAAATCCCTAACTCTTAGAACCTTCTCATAGCATGTGCATAAACAGTCGCAGAGCATGGAAAACCAACTCTTCCAAGGATCCACTGAGAAGAGGTATGCACATGTGCCAAGATAGGAACCCCCGCACTTTGTGTGTGCGCATGTCCTCTAAGACGTGCACCTGAAATCCACTAGTAATTGGGGATTCAGGGTCACCCATTGGTTTGACTTTGATAAGTTGTATCATGAGCCCTTGATTATACACTGGGTCATGAGTTTGTTGGGTCATACCCAAAAAGTGGCTTTGG